CTTGCCTGTTTGACCCAAAAAGCCATTTATCTGCGTTTCCTGCTCAGGGAGCTGCCATCAGGCTGAAGCAATGAAAGTTCAAAGATATCTTTTGAACTAGGGTAGCAAAGGAGGATTCAAAGCATGGGAACAGAAACTGGCTGGAGAGAGCAGACAAGCCAGGAAACAGCTGCTGCTGGCTGAACATCCAGTTATCAGGCAGTGCCACTGGGGCAGCATCACCTGCCATCCCAGTTTACTCGGAAGTCACCTTCTGCCATTTCACAGAGGACACCTTTATTCTGCTTATATCAGCCTGGACAATAAATTCTGAGGACCAGTGCACAGATAATTAGGAGTGAGTATATACTTGACATGACAGTAACAAAGAGCCTGACATACAAATAGCTTTTTTTTTTTTTTTTCTTAAAAAACCCCAAAACAACAACAAACAAAAAAAAAACGCACCCAACTTGGAAACATTACTAAAAAACCATCAATACATAAACAAGGGAACAGATTAAGAATCTTTGATATATCTTAAACATGGCTGATAGACTTCTGTCCAGGAAAGAATATGGTCTAGTACTTATATCAGCTCTGGAGGACATATTTTACCATGCTATTTTTTCTGAGCTCAAGGAGAAGTAAAAAAAAGTGTTTATCTTCTGTATGTATATGAATGTGCATGTGCATTCACATATTCACACAGATGCATATACCCACCTGTACACACACATAAACAAAACCGATCAGGGAGGACTGTTTTACATCATCACTTAAAGAGTTAACATTAGACACAGAGATATCTCTAGGCAAGTTTTGGGATGTACACGATAAAGATACTCCCTAAGGATGTTTCCCAGAGTCAATTCATTCATTCTTGTCCACAGACCTTGCACATACACCTACACACAAACCACGGGCAGGCGTTGTGCAAGACACAGTGCCCAGGAGGCCGGACAAAGCAGGAGGGTGTTTGCTGGCAGGAAGGGACCACACTCAGCACTCAGCCTGCTGTCCAAGCTGTGATCAGGGCTCCCCTCCTGGGGCACCCAGCAGGACAGCTGCTCACCAACCCCATCCCATCTGTGCACGCAGCCCGGCTCACCTCAGTGAAGAAGCCTGCAATTCCTGCCTGGCACGAGCCATGCTCCTCCCCATACTTCTTCTTGTACTCTGGATGGGAGAAGGGAACAAAACAAACCACGGTCATCCCTGGCATGGCACATACTCTCCACCTGAGCCATCAGCATTGCTGCACGCACGGCCTCAAGGGACATCAGCACACAGAGCTCCCAAGTTTTACTGATGGATCTGTCACCTGTGTGCACCATGGCAGTGTCCTCACCCACGTCGGGGGAAAAGCGATGGGCCTGAAACGGAGGGGAACATCCATCGTGCTGCCTAGGGGCCTGCCAAAGGGGCAGTATCACAGTAACATGATAACAGCAGCAGCAGCATCCTGACAAAGGTGCATCAGCAGATGCCCCTGCCTCTGGTAGCTGGACCCGTGCAGCTGGGAAGGAGGACGATGCCCATGCCTGCATGCCACTGACCCTGCACCAGGAGGTTTAATCCTCAGGTTTGTTACTACCTCAGAGAAATAAGTGATTCTCCCCTACAACAGTCACCAAACACCCCATCAATGTTTCTGGTGGAGGGATGCTTCAGGACACTGGCCCCAGGAGGGAGGCAGTGAGTGAGTTTCTAAGTGATCAGACAACAGTCTCATCTGGGGGATGCTCAGGTCCACTGCTTTCCATGGCCACCTGCTCAGAGCTCCCAGTCTGCAGGGGACCCAACCAGCATCACTATAGTTTTCGTTTCTGTATTTTGTGTAGCAATTGTTTCCCCTATGAAACCTGAGGAATTTTTACTTTTATCTTTTTGCAGAAGAGGAAAAAAATATTTTTAGAAATGCATTAAGTTTGGGGGGGCAGGGAAGAGGAAGAAAAAAAAAAAATTTAAAAAAGACAATCACTTTCCGCCCTGCCTTAATCCAAACATTTTGAGTTTAGGAGCATTTGAAACAGAGCTGGATCAGAACCTTCGCAGTTTTTTTCCAGAGCATTATTTTCAAATATTTACCATACCAAAAAGTGCCCAGCTTCAGCACATTGCCAATTCCTGTATGTTACAGTAATTCAGGCTTCAAAAACATTCACCAGATAACCCGGTAATTTTGAATTTACTTCCCCCCTCCCCCCCGTTGTTTGTTTGTTTGTTTTTTAAAGTAAGCACCATTAACTTCTTGCTAAATGAGAACAATGTTAATGAAATCACTGAGCAAATTGCCTCTTTGGAACCAAGCAAGTTGCATTTCAGTTGCATTTTATCTTATTGAAGACCAAAAAGGAGTTAATTATAGACTACTGCCTTCTCATAGAACTTTTTCAAAACAGTGTTCGTACATATATATATATATACACACACACACATATACATGCACACATGCACATATTCCCTCACCCACCACTCCCTCTTTATATATCATATATAGTCTCTTCCTAACATCCTAAAGATGCTCAGATTTTAAGGAATTTGCTGAGGTCATACCAGTTGCACAAGGAGAGGTTTAGTTGGAGAGACCATGCAGAACAGTGACTCGATCCACAAATTACAGCCCAAATGCCTAACGCCCTTGGCCGAGGCAGGGTCCTGTCAAAGCACATGTGTGTCCCAGCAGACCAGGAGGGCCAGAAGCACACTTGGGTTTCCTAGTGGGAATGCATGACAATAATTCCACTGAGGAATGAAGCCCGTATTTGCTCAGGGTTATTCAGAAGGCACTGGGGCTCTGAATCATTAGCTCTCCACAGATAATCTCTCGCAGAGCCAGGCACTCCTTGCCTGGGAAAAAAATATTTGTTTATTGATATGAACATTTTTTATTCAGAGAGCTGAGGAGATGAGGTTTCTCCTTCTGGCGTTTCCTGAAAAATAATGCTGTGCACGTCCTAAAGGCCCTGCCTTTGCTACCACTGGATTCCCACCCTTGCACAGGATAAAACGCAGCAAGTTCCACCTCCATCCCCTTTGGAGGCTTTCACTTCCAGCCAAGATTTCCCTTTACATGATGTACTGAAGCATGAACAGACCTTGCCTCTTCAAATTTCTCCTTCTTTTCTTTCATAAACAGGCTTTCCAGAACTTTTTTCATAATTCAGCAACACATAAAAGCCTCAAACGTGACGGTGGTTTCCCATCATGAGCCATCAGAGCTTTGCCACAGACTTGGGTGAGGCCCGAAGGTCTCCAAACCATCGCTCCACTCAACTCCAGCCCCATCCACACACTCCTGCGAGTCACCTGGCTCGCAAGAGCCATCCCCTGAATTCGGCTGCAAGTCAAAAACAAGGGCATGCAAAACCGTCGGACAGCAGAAAGAACGGTAGCAGCTTTAGCCCTGGAATGAGGCAGCTATTCAAGGGTGGTAGATGCATCCATACTTTCATGCGGCTGTGTTTAACAAACATACCAAACTGCTTCATTTCTGAGGATAAACAGAGGATTTTCTTCTGATAAAACAATACATGCACAAAAATTAAATCGTTTCTCCAACCAAGTCAAAAAGCTTATTGAATTCACAGCATTGCTTTATTATTATATAATTTTGCCAACTGTAAAAAAAAAAAAAAAAAGAAAAAAAGACCAAATTCAGATCTAGGAGTAACTTGAAACAAAAGCCCCAACACCAGAGGGCTCAACACTGCTGATTTTCACCAGCAATATATGTATTAGAAAAGGAACAGAAACACACATTATTGTTTTCACTGTCAGGCAACGAAAAAACAATTACTCTTTAAATGAACCAAATTATTATTAACTGCAATGCATAAGGAATGGGAAAGGTTTAGTGGTTTAAATAGTTGTATAATAAACTGAGTTGATACATCCACTGAATCTCATACTTCCACAATGTTCAAGGCTTTATGTGACGTTTGGTAGTTTTTAAGTCACTTATATTGCCAGTACTATCTGCTCAAACTAATGGCCCTACATTTCACTTAAATAACTAGTTATGCTTTGGTTGTAAGATTGCAGCATTTCAAGTAAATTCAGAGTCTGGATACAAGCAGTGCTCCTGTGAACTGAAGACAAGACACCAAAACATTTTGACTTGAATAAATACCTGACAATACTTTTCAGGAAAAAAAATAAGAGCTTACAGAAGAAGAATAAATGGATTCTTCACAGTGGTGTGGCATGACACACAGCAACGATGCAAAGCAATGACCATCCTTCCTCCCTATAGGTATCAAGACTCCATCCTATCATTATGGAGTCTGAGAACATAGCATGTACTGATTAACCTCTTTTCCCAACACCTCAGAGAAGAAACAGCTTTAGTGACATTTTGCAAGAAGAAACAGAATCACAGAGGCCCAAACAGCACAGACACTGAGGCTATTTGAGCATTTAAAGCTCCGCTGACACAGAGATCAGCACCATGTTTTGGCAGGGACCCAAAGTCCTCCCCAGGGAGCCAGCAGCCCAGCCCAGACACACACTGGGCTCCTGGATTCCAGCATAACGCTTTCAGCACAAAACCACCCCTCCTTGTCCGCCCGCCTAACTCCTGTCTGCAGCAGTGTACTCCCTCTCCGTGCCCAAACAGGGCTCCTTTCCACCTGTGCACCCACGGTGGCAGCCCAGCACAGCTCCCCATCCTGCACGGTCACGTCCCAGCCTTACAGACTTCTGCCTCCTCCCTAGAGCTGGTCTGCCTCTCCTAAGCAGCAGACAGAATCACAGAATGGTTAGGGTTGGAAGGGACCTCAAAGATCATCTAGTTCCAACCCCCCTGCCATGGGCAGGGAAACTCTCCACTACACCAGGTTGCCCAAAGCCTCATCCAGCCTGGCCTTGAACACTTCCAGGGATGGGACATGCAAAAGATGCACCCAAAAGGCATGAAAAACAAGAGCGCTTCTGCCTCCCTTTCACTTTGGTGCACAGCAGTGACACCTTTCACTCATATGACACTTCTATCTACCCATCCATCCATCCATGCAGTGAAACGACCAACCAGCAGAAAATCATGCAGTTACTGAGCCAGCTCACAGCTTTTGCACACCTGAATAGCAATATTTGCATGAGGTTTAGATATTGCACACAGTGGATGCGGTAGTTTCCGCGTAGCTCCAGGCGGTAACCGCTGTCATGAACGGATCCTTTGTTTTCACACTTCTTTATTGTTCTTTCTCATCTGCCCACAGACTGCTGCGCACCTCCGACTCCACGGACCACGAGTCACTAACTGCTGTGGCAGCAGCTGATAGCAGAGCAGTAAGATGAGGCTCAGTCTGGAAGAGGTGGCCGCCTCTGCGACTTTGAAGCTGTGCCATGAATAAATAGATTAGGCAAAGAAGAGAAGAAAAAGATGGCAGTGTTCTGCAGCCATGATGATCTCAGGTTATAAGAGAAGTAAGGCTGAGGAAGAAGTGATTGTATAAAACAACGTACAAACAAAAAGGATAAGCTGTGACATGTGATGGTTGTGAAAACAAACGCTCCTCAATTTCTTCTCTGAGTAAACCTCCTTAAAAGGCTCTAAGCAAACTTCAATGCCATAACACAGCATAAGCTTCACAGTGCAACAAAATCCTGTATCTACCATCTTCACCGATGGAGGCAAAGTAGACAGTTATGGTAAACTATCATTTGCTCTGGGAGCCTCTTCCTTCCTATCCAACTGCGCTTCACTACTGTGGGAAGAAACAGTAGCAATCTTTCCGACCTAGCATTGTGGTACTGGGTTTGCACCACAAAGTAGGGATGTTTTGATGGCTCCCAGAAAATCAAATGTGGTCTGGACCCTGTGGGAAAACTTGCTTATCCCTTTGGAGGCGAGGCTTGTGAGCATATGCTGTTTCTCTTATTTACTAACCAAAGGATCCATCACTCTTCCCCATCTCCACCACCAACTACTACCGCAGTGGAGTAGGAAACCATCCCAGCTCTCCCCATCAGCTGGGCTGCTTCTCACAGTAGATGCAGCCACCCTTCTTCTTTGCAAACTGAATGCGTCAGGGGAATGAAGAGGCAGCTCCCTTTTTTTGGAAGGCCATTAAAACTACAGGAAAAGTAGCCAAGCGAAAGCACTGCCTGGAAGACTGTGGCTCCGTACGCCAGCTACACCACAATGGACATCCAGCTTACATAAACCAGATTAGTTCCTACTCAGGCAGATTGCATTTAACTATTAGGCTTGCTGCTCTTCTCATTAGCTCTCAATCGCTTCCAGACTTCTGTCAGCCCTTTCAGTGAAGCCGGACAAGAATAAGATGGATTGAGACTACTACGTCGTTACACCACTACCATCCAGTCAGGAAATTTCCATTTCCTCCTTTATCTTTAATTATTAAGCCTGCTTTACGTGGAGAGGAAACAAAGTACGTCTGTCCCAAGGTCAGCCTCCTCTCCATTTCTGGCACAAGACATTTGTTACACAAGCTAATCACCCATCTCGAGGTGCACACACGCAGATGGACGGAGACTGATGTGCACTCAACTGGCCGGCACCCTTCTCCAGTTAGGCGAGAGCCAGCTCTGGTTGTGGATGATGCAGCCACGCCAGCCTCTCACGGGGCTTCATAAACTGCGTTAACGACGGGGCTTCCAGAAAGTGGAGGAAAAAAACGTTTCGAGGATGACTGCAATCTTATTTCACAGCAAAGCTCAGACAACGAATCGCTCGGCGTGACGTACCGCGGCTGTCTCTCTCTTTGAGCTTGTTTTATTGAAACCTAAAAGACCCGGGAGTAAACAAATGCAGCCGTCTCTCGTGATACTTTGTGATTTCATGTCTGATGGAGGCGGAGAAAAAAAATCAGTCCCAAACCTCCAACTTTCACTCTAGCATGGAGTGAAATTAAGCCAACATCGTTCCGCACCGACCCTGCCAACTTTCCGCTGGCAGGTCTGTGCGTACTAGGCCCACACATTTCTATTTTCTAGCAATTCCTGGCAAATATCCTGTCAGATTAGCAGCAGTTTTACTCTGAAGACATGACGCACATGAAAACATAAGCGGTTTGTCTCTCCCAGAAAGCACCTCCCCGCCACAGCTTCAGGCGCAGGAGCAGCGACACAGGTTCCGAGGGAGCCCCGGCAGCGTGTCCGCACGTGTGCATTGACCATCAAGTTAATATCAGATTATTTGCAGTGCATTAGCTCAGTGTGAGGCCTTATCCTGATTTTGTGGACAGGAACAACCCAAACCCAGACCTTCGGAGGATCCAAAGGAGGACCAAGACACCTTACAGCACCTGGAACACGGTTTATATTAAACTGCTGCAGAAGTTCCCCAAAGTGAACAAGGTGTCAAGCAGCCCTTTATCCTCCTCCAGTCCTCTGATAAATCACAACACAAAAATGAAAATATTTTCGTAACACGGGCAAATTGGTTCCCAATTGCAACATAATTCAGGATTTTTACTCCATGCTGCAGCTAACCATGAGCAGCCAAGCTCATATCAATATCTACTGATTATTCGCCTAAGAGAGAGAGAAGCGTTGCCTCAAAAACACAGTTTGGAAGTGTATTATTCTTCCAGTAAAGTGCAACCACACACAATAAGTCAGAGGACTCGTTCAGTCATTGCGCTACTCTCCCGACTTCATCTAAAACCCAACCTCCACCCCAGCTGTGCTGGTAGGCAGCCTATGTTACCAAAAAAAATTAAAAAAAGAAAAATATCAGTAGCAAGGGTTTTGGAAACAAAAGGAAAACCCAGCAGCTGTAAAATGAGAGAGCAGTGACGGAGGTGAGCCCTGCTCCCGGCCCCCCCAGCCCTTACCTTCATAGCAGGGCAAGAGCTTCCTCCCGTTGGGCTGCAGGTTGGGCGGAATGATGTTGCAGAAGCCATGGGGCAGGATGTACTCAGTCTCATAGTAGATGTTTTTCCAGCGGTGCGCACATGCCTAAACAGATCATATCACACACGTTATTGACCCAGAGTCACTGGAGAGCTCTCCGACCAAGGCAGAGCACGCTTGAACAGAACCTTTCAACGTTGCCTTCCCTCCACAACCCCATTGTCCTCTCCTTACATCCCACTCTTTCTAGGTAGAGTATCCTCTCCCCGTTACCTTCTGCAGCTCATGACACTGCCTGACCTGGCAGCTCAGACCTCAGCCTCCACATGTGCAGGACTAGGAAAACAGCAGGTCTCAGAGCAAGAAGGTCCATGCAGGAGATTTCAAGGTCTCTCACTGTATATGAATCCCCACAGCCAGTGAAGCTTTTCTAACTACAGAGGTACTGACAGAACCCAGCCAAGCCAGAAGAGGGGAGCAAAACCAGGAATAAAGACATTGAGAATACACATAAGAGGATCAAAAGGGACACCGAGACTCAGAAGGTTACTAAGATCATATTAGAAAGTTATCCCATCAGAGGATGTACTTGTGAGTCAAAGACTTATCTCACTTGGAAAGGCGGCTTTGTTTCTGGCAACAGAAGGGCTGGACCATGCTTACTGGTAAGGAATTTAAGTCAAAACGCCAGAGATTTTGTGGCAACAAGGGCAGCAACATCAGTCAAGGTGCAGATGAGCTGCAGAGATCAGGGTGCCTTTCCCCTCATAGTGAAGAATAAGATCACCCCGCAAAACCAGAGCTAAACCAGTCTCCCCAGGACACGTTGCTCAGTACAACTGCCACACACAGGCATGCATACAAGCAATGTAGAGCCTGGTTCACACCTTCCCAGAGCTCATTTGTTCCAAAAATTAACACCTCATGGCTGCCAGACAAATCACAAGTCGCCTGATGCTCAGGGGTTAGTTGGAATAAAAGGAAATGAAATTCAAAACAGCAAAGGCTTCAAACCTGAGCACACGCTGGGCCATATCTCCAGCCCGTCTGAGCCACTTAAGTCAGTGTAGATGTGTCAATTTATATCGTTTAAGTCTTGGTCCTTTGCACACAGAGCAGCATCTATGCTACAAATCATCTCCTCCATGCACTTTCAGCTTTTCCCGGAAACTTTGTATCAGCCCCCTTCATGGTACCCATGTTCGACCCCATCCCTCCCCAGACGAGACACCTTCCCTCTTCCTTCCCTTTGTGCTACCCCACTTTTCTGCCTCAGCACCTCAGAGGTGAGCATGTTGCCCGTGGGAGCATCTCAATATTAGAAAAAACTCCATAAATCAGGCACTGTTGTGTCACCTACCCACCAGTAAAGGACCTGGGAAGTGTATCAACCACCAGTAAACTCAAAATTCAATCCAGCAGTCAACACAGGCCCCTGCCCATATACTTAACTCCAGAAAGACGTAAAAGGGTAATACTACTCTCTCACTTTTTTAACCGAAACAGAGCAAAACCAGTTGTGCAAAAGCCTGCTCTGCTGCGAGCAGTGCTGCATTCAGAGTCTGATATTTATTGCTTCCCTAACTTCCAGCACTCAAAGAGAAGCACGTATTTCCTGAAGACAGCTATTGCAGAGGGATAACGAGGGACCCCGGGGGCCGTGGAAAGCTCTGCACCGCACTGCGTGGCACCAGCTGCCCCTCGTGATGAGAAGGATGCTTCTGATGGCACTCTGCTCGACAGCCAAACGTCGGGGAGTCCCGAAAAGAGCAGCTTTGGGGATTCCCTTCCTTGCTTTAAGGAAGATCAGTTACGATTTTAATCCTCATGCACCGCTCATTCAACAGCAACAAAAAAAAAACAGCGCATGAAACGCTCGTTTTCAGAGTAACCAGGAAATAGTTTCTCTCCTGATGGATCTGTGCTGTAAGCACAAACACACACACGCACAGCCCTTCTGTACCAGAAAGGCACGTACCATCAAAGTGACAGTCAAGTCAACCCCAACTCCGGATACAAACTCAAACGGAAACAGACCAAGAGTATTTTTTTAAATT